TCTATGATTCTATGAAATCTGTGGGGAAAGGCTTATGGTCAAAACCTAGATAAAGATATTTACTTTAATTTAAAACACATTTCTATTTTCAGATGCAGCCCACATACTGTCAGGGCTTTTCCTTCTTTTCCTTTGTTTCCAGATTATGTGGGAAATTCACTTCCATCTTTGTCCTGGTTCCGTGTAAAAAGGGGTTCAGGGCAGGACCCACACGGAACAGAACTATGTACTCGCCTCTCCCCCCAGCGAGGGAGAGAGAGACACTTTGGAAAAAAAAAATGAAGTATATTGTTTAACAAGGAATAGAAAACGAAAAAGGGAGGTAAGGAAAATAATATATACAAAGATTAGGGGAAAAATACAAAAAATAAAATATACAAAACCCTCAGATATGGTTCCAGGGTCCCATGGAGTGAAAGGACAACCTCCCTCTCCGAGCTCCAAGGCAGGAGTGAAATTAGAAACCACTCCCTGCCTCTTATCAGAGTGTGTGTGGGAAGGGGAGGGAATACAATGGTTCACCCCCACCCAGGGTCCTCCCAGTTGCTGGAAGGTCACACCCTCATTCCAAGCCTCAAACCACAACAATCTTTAAAGAATAGTTTCTACCCTTGTGAAGGAGGAAAATTTTATGTCAAGTATTTTCAGTTATCATATCTGTATAGTTGTTGTCTTTCAATAAAAATAACCTTTTGTTAAAGGTTTCATTAGATTTCAATGGAGGCTGACAACAGCCAAATCTCCAGCCATCTGCAGGAACCACTGTAGACTGACCACACACTCTGAATAGCAAAATTCTTCTCAGTACTTTAGTTCAGACAATGGGATCAGTTTTCCAAATGCTTAATCATGCCAAGGGCAGGAGCTCAAAGGCTTTACCCATGCTGAACTTCTCCAACAGTCATAATGAAAACCAGGCCTCAAGTAAATTATTAACAAAATTTAAAATCGTAAGGAAATGATCCTTTCCATTTTTAGTAACAAGAATGGATTACTTCAATAGAGGCTTATACATAGACAGTTCTTTTAGAGGCCATGTGATTCCTCTGTAGAAGAGTAGGTTACTGTAAAGATACTTGAATACCAAGTATAAATCCCTTGCTACACTCCAAGCATAGCATCATATTACTGGTACTTTAATGCCCAGCACAGCAGCAAAACTGTACAACGGGTCTACTTCCCAAAACACTTTAAGTGCTTCAGTCACTTAGCTTCCAAATCACAGAACCACGGAATAGCAGGGGTTGGAAGAGACCTCTGGAGATCATCTAGTCCAACCTCCCTGATAAAGCAGAATCATCCAGTTGCACAGGAACGCATCCAGGTGGGTTTTGAAACTCTCCAGAGAAGGAGACTCCACAACCCCTCAAATTAGCTACTGTAGAAGAGTAAAGACCCTACTTAAATGTCACATTGTGACACCTTAAAAATTTGGAGGCTGCGTGGAGAAGGCTTACCCCGTGATTGCAAACCATGCCCACATGCCTCATTGTGTCCTGGCACACTCTGTCTCACCGAGTCTGGCACCAGCACACAGTGACTCCAGCGGTGGGTCTTCCACCTGCAAAAGGAAAAGGTCAACAATTAAGTAGTTAAAGCTGGAAAACAGTTAACACATCCATTCAAAACCTTCAGTTAGGAGTGGTGATATACGGTGGAGACTTAAGGAAAAATAGTCAAAAAGCTGTAATTACTCCTGAAATAAGCACTGTGATCTGAAATTCATATGGAAGGTTCACCTTCTAGAAAGCCACATCATTTCCCCTTCTCATTTTTGTAGGGCATGGTTCAAAGTTACATAAAAAATTCAGGCAACACCTTCAGTGGGCTTTGACTCTAGGGTCTCCTCTCATACAAGTGATGCTGTTCCTAACCTGCTTCCTATGCTTGGATGTGTGCCAGCTGAGGATACAAGAAAGCAGCTCTCCAGAGCACTACATGGTACGGAACTGGGCAGAACTGGGTGGTGACTCCTGCTCTGGCACCACCTTCAGCTCCCTGCTCTGCCCTGAGACCACGTCCTGCAGGATGTGAGGGCTGGAGTTATATATGCAAAGACATAATGCTTTTCTATTTACTAATATTTTGTAACAGATGGGTCACAGAATTTTAATGAAGAGTGGTAATTGCTCTATGGTACTATTTGCCTAATCAGATTTTTTTACAGTGTGTATTATTCACTGAAGTGAGAGCATTAGGAGAAAAGACAAGAGTTTCTGCAACAAGCATACATTTAGTAAGGCAGTTGAGTGCTTGTGGTCACAAAATAGACTGCATTGATTTTCAGATACATTGAGGGTGGGTTCCCAGTAATATCTTCCTTAAATACATTGAACCCTGAGGTTACCATTTCTAGGAGTTGTGTCTATTTGGTGCTTTCTCTGATAATGCCAGATCTGATGAAACTGCCAGTCTGAACTCTATGTTTACACGTTTTGCTAGGTATGTTATTAGTTTGTATCTCTGCATTTTCCAGTATTACCTTGTTTTCTGGTGAATATTGTGCAGGATGATTGCACAAGAGACATTTCTGGAAAAGAGGACACCCACTAGCAAAAGACTGATTCCAAGCTAACAGTTTACCTATACACTGGACAGACAGGAACATCTTCACATTCCCTTTCCTCATACAAGGTGTCCGGGCATGCCTGTCCCCCATTGGCAGCATCCTGAACGATAATCCTGTACCGGGACTGCTTAACTGCAGTGGCATTGCCTGTAAAATAAAGAACAAATTGCCTTCCAGACACAGTTGGTACCTGGAGTTGGTGATCTAGCTGTCTTGGTTAAAAACATGCTTTGTGTTCCATTTATATCTTGAAACTATGAGCACTCTGGCACTACCTGATGAAAAAAAGCTACCGTTACATGCTTTAAAATTGCCAGTAGTTAAGCAGAACAGCACCTGGAATGTGGCCTAAGAAATGCATCAAAAAGTGTCCTCTTACCAGAATATCAATTCAGACAAGCAAATAAGTATGAGCACCTTATATTTACATATAAGTATAAATACCTTAACAGGAGAAAAGAATAAAAACCAAAACACCAAACTGTAATAATGCAAAGTTTTGTTTCTGAAAACACATTCTGGTGGGCTCGGGCTGCTATCAGAATCCATCTTTATGGGTCTAGAAATTACAGATGATAACTTCCTGATAGGAAAACCACTGCAACCAACAGAGGCTAACTCTCTACTTAACCTAAGTCAATGCAAGATCAATCCATCTAGAAACACAGTTCACAAAATCTACAGTACGTAACACAGCATGAAAGACAAGGGTAAGATTTATCTCTATCTCTCTAGAGGTAAAACAAACACAATCCTTGGCTGCAAAGTGGTAAGTACAAACTGAGAGCTGATTTAACTGCTGTGTATGGCATTAGTGCTCCTTCAGGCATTGTATTCATGCTTCAGAAACAGACACTAGAAAATTGAAAAGGAATCTCAGCAGAACTATATGAAGCATTCCAGGCAATCCTCTTTTAACAGTGGACTTCATCGAATTTGTCCAAGAGAGGAAAGCAGTGTGTGAATTAGCCCACTTAGGAGTACTTTTTCTACAGCTCAAGATAAGGCCAAAGCTGCAGTAGCAAGATTACGCTGCATTAGAGTAGAGACAAAACTTGGGAAAAGTCTCACAATGAACACAAAGTTCACGTACAGATCCAGTAAAAATGGTTGGCTCTCACAATCCCAAGTTATACAAACCTTCACTCACACATGCTGTCACTGAGATCACCCCAAAGGACTCTGGACCTGGCAGGAGGTTGCTCACCCGTGCTGCTACCCTGAGGCAGGGTAAGTGAACCCAGGGTGATCCCCCTCTTGCTCCTTTAGCAGCCATTACCTGAGGCAGTTCTACAGCTTCCTACAATCTCCTTTCAGATGCCCAATTCAGTGCTTGTAAAGCCTCATAGAGACTCTTTATTTAAAATCTAGGCCAGGTCTTCACTCCTGTACTTGAAGCTAAATCTTTTTTTATCTTCTGGCCCCTGGATGCAAAAAAAGATTTACCCTTATCACTTGATGTACAACCTGTATGAGATTTTAAGGGCTTGTATCCACTCTCAGCCTTCCCCTCTCTAAACTAAGCAAACCCGGTTCTTCCAAGGCCCTATTCAATAACCTCCTGTTGCTTTCTTTCTTACAACACTGTGCCCAAGGAGTCCCACCTGCAGCCTCAGCCGTGCACAGTAACACCACTGGTGTTCTACATACAACATTCTCATGGGTTTGACAAGCCAAATGTGAGTTTTAGCATTTAAAATTTTTGGCTTCCATTCATATTGTATCTCCAGAGGTGCCCGAGACAGTACTGATGTCTTTACTTCCACTCTTTGTGCAATCAGTTTTGCTTTCCCAAGTCACATTTTGAGAAATTTCTCAATGATTTGAGTATTATTTAATATATTATCCATTGTGTTTGCTGCCTCTCTCAGCTCTGCACCTTTACTCCTTTTCTGGCAGCAAAGGAGACAGAGAAAGACTTTTCAGAGCAATATCCAGTGTAAGATTTTTCAAGCAGTTGAGTACCCACTTAACAGTGATTTAATTCAAGTCACTGCTCCTCAGCTTCCTGATAGAAGTTTATTGTGTCAAAAAAACTATCACTTCCCTTATTTAGCAGTTATCTTGTCAAAAAAGAGATTAAATTTATTTGGCACAATATGTTCTCAATAAATTCATACTGACCCGTTTATTAGAATCTGATTCTTGAAATGTTTACATCTTGAGTGATAACTTGTTCTTGTGTTTTTCTACCTAACAGTCAGGACGAGTAAACTTCACTTTCCTTGACCTTTCTTTTTTTTTATTGGGAGTGGTGATGGTGAGGAGGAGGGTGTTGGAAGATTGGTTGGTTGGTTAGGCATGTCTTGATATTACTAACTTTTAGTTAGTGCCTTACCACTTAGCATTTTATCACCCAGAAGATAGTCACCAGACGTTCTAGGGCATGACTTTACAACTTCCTTCTCTATTCATACAGCCCTTGTCACATGGCAACATCTAATTTATGGAAATACTCTTCAGTCCATTCCTTTCCTCATTGCAGACAAGAAACAATGGCAGCAATTGCATATTCCCCACGTTGTGTTTCTCTCGTTTCTCAGAAAGCAATGGACATACATTTTATCCAGTTCCCCCTTACTTTTAATCCATTTATGCAATTCTTGTTATCTAATAACTTAATATTAGCTTAATTTGCATTCTTGATTTCTTGTTTCTAATTTTTGTGAAACAGTATGACAATCAAAGAGGAAACAAGATTCTGAATAGCTCTGGAGATGAGGAAAAATAAAAAGGGGCTTCTCTAGCTGTGTTTGATGTTTTCTCTTCATGACAAGAAGCCTGAACACGCAAGTCATGTACAGACCTACACATGCCTTGTTCCCCTGTGCTACTGGCTTGCCATTATAATAGTTTTAGGATACAAAGAAGAGCCCAGCAGGATTTCAGTGCTCTGTAGAGTCTTTCTTGGTAGCTTCCAGGTCTTCTACACTCCTGTCTGCATAGAACACGCTCCCCAAAGGTGTAATTACCAATACCCTCAGTTTGTTGAAATCTTCCCTTTTTCTGAAATGCCTTGCTGATATTGCCATCCTTCCCTTCTTCTAGGAATTGTGAACTCTATCACTCTGTGATGATTTTCATTCAAATTATCTACTACCATTAGAATTTTAGCCATTTCCTTCCTATTAATCAGTACCAAATCTAAATGAGCTTCCCACAGTAATTTTCTCCACCTCAAGAAACTAAATTATCTTCAACATTTATTGCACATTACTCAAACCCCATTTTCAAAATTGAATTTCCTCATTGGCTTTTCTACGGCATTTCTTACAAATGTTAATGAACATAATTTTTATATCTCATTTAAAATTGCTATAGCCTGATTTTCCAGAGTATTAGCATTATGTAGGATTGTCCTTTTAAATCTGAACTTCAGCTGGTTTCAAGCATGGCTATGACTGCTTGCCCTCCTGAAAAAAGCAAGCCTCAGGATCTCAAGACCATCTTAACTTCTATGTTGTTAACTTTGCAACTCCAATAATGCTGTTGAGAATTTTAGGGGTGCCCTACCTCTGCTTCCATTCCCACCTCCCTGTCCCATCAGCCTCCAGACTCCTCTCCTTACACACAGAGTCATACGACTCTCCTCATTCCTCCCTTGCTCATGCATCTTTCCTCCCTCTGTATTTGACCCCCAGGGCTTCCCCAGTAAATTGTCCAGGGCTTGGAAAGGTGCATCACCCTTCTCAGGAGGACAAAATCCTTGTTCACTACTGCAAAGTGTGTTATATCTGACCCAGCTTTTACAGGAAACATTCAGCTTCATACTCTTTGCTCCTGACCAGATGGAGAGGTACTGTCTGGTCAACACAAGAGTCCAAGCAGACAAACATTAAGGACAGATTCTCCAGGAATTCAGCCACCAAAATCAGAGCTCTCTTCAATATTTTTGTGCATGTAAGAGGTTTTGAAGGCATAAGTCTTTAACTTTGACCGGTCCTGGTAGAGAGTTTACAAGAACTGGAATCCTTGACAGAAACTGTCTGACACAAGGTAGAGGTCACTGGAATTCCTTATTGTGGCACGCTATGCATTTTATCCACTTTTCCCCCATCTCATTTCAAATCTGATTTAAGGCATGGGGAAATAAATAAGACAAGTTACTATCTACCATTTCATGTAAAATTGTTTAGAGAATTAATCAACAGTGAAATGTCTAAGCCTCCTCTTGGACAATCAATGCCCAGAAGAGGTACTTAAAGGTACCGCCTACTTTTAAGAGGAAGATAAAAAAATGTTACTTATTGCCAGATGTTTGCTTTTTTTAATCTCCCCATTTTAAATCTATGCTGGCAAACCAAAGAACACATCATCCATGCTGAAGGCAGTCACCTCCTGAGGACACCTTCAGCACTGGGAAAGCAGGTGGTAGAGGAAAAGCTACATGCTGCTTATCCAAACCACTTCATATTCTGAAACCTCCATACTGACTCTTGGACTCTTCTTTTGATTCATTCTCAAAGACCCATTAAAAGAGATACTTTATAGAAGACTGTGGTAGACAGTTGTCACATTTAAGTATCTGAAATGGCAGAGAATCAATAACTTGAAACAACCTCCCTGTTCCTGCCTCACCAACAGGTGTTTGGATTCAAGTGCACCACTTCTGTGAGTTATGGTTTCCGTCCATCTGTTATTGCCCGAAGTTCACCGCTGTCTACACTTCTGAGGCATGAGATAATCCCTCACCAGAAGACAGTTGGTTGTCTGATGACATTTAAATGTAGGAAAATGCCAACTTTTTTATTGTTAGACAGTAAAGTTGGACATGTTTTCTCAGATAAACTACAAATAGCTTAACTGGTAAAGTTCTGTGTAAAGCTGATTTAGTGATGGCATGTTTGTCTAAGCTCTGATCTTATGCTGGTACACATTTAATTTTAAATCTGCCAGGCAATACCTGTTCCTGCTTGATCTGCTTAGTAATTCACCATCTGTATATTGTTTTCATTAAATACAACTTTTCTATAAAAAAAAACCAAACCTCTTAACAACTCACATATGTGGAGTGGTTTTGAAATTTCATTATCATGCTGAGGTTTTAATTGTGCAATGCAAATTAAAAAAAAATTTTTTTTTACAATGCAGCCATATCAATAACAGATTTAGCAAAAAGCAAACTCCGCCATCTAAGAAGTTTTAATTTAGAATAATATTAAAATGATAACACTGCCAAGCAGGTTAAATAATTAATTCCTTCTCATTTTAATTGTAGACTATTATTTAATAAACAAAGTAATTTACCAGGTAATTTATTCTACTTCTTCACAGGCAGCTCATTTAAAGTCTAAAAATAAATTGCTAATTAAAACAGGATTCACTGTTTTAGAAAGCAACTCATTTTCCTGTAAAATCTAACAAGAACTATGGTAGAGCATCCACTGAGAACCTTTGAAGGACAAGAAAGCCACCAACAATCATGAAATATTCTGATAACTGAGAAGGCTTTCATCTGAACAATTAATGAAACACATAAATTTGTCACAAAAACCAACACTAGATCATTTATAAAGAAATTCTGCTGAACACTTAGTGCCCAAAAGCTAACCAACTGGATCAAAGAAATTTAAGATTCTTGAAAAACCACAAAGCACAGGAGTTATTTGTACAACCCTGTACATAGGTCTAGATCTGTCAAGAGGAATAAGTCTCATATAATGCAGCAATTCCACATGAAGCCATACAACATTGGGACTTTGGACTTCTAATTTTGAAGGCAGAAGCCCAGAAGGAATTTATTCCAGGTAAAGAGAACTTCTATCTCCAAATCTGTTCACAAGAATCCCACACCCTCCAACAACCCCATTGTCAACAACACTCTGAGTCCAAAACTCATTCAGCTGAATGCCCTAAAGATTACTAAACTGACATGAACTACAACTACTGCACAGTTCTAGGCCAATTCTCTAATTTTTTGCCCATATTTTGACCTCTCCTTAAAGACTTACCAGGCTGACATGCTGTTGGGCAGGGAGTCCACTCACTGAAAGGTGTAACAATGCAGTCCTTCTTGCAGAGGAGGAGACACGGCCGCACAGTCTCAGGTCTGATGGACTCTGGACATCTATCGATCCACATGCAAAGACAAAATATCATAAAAATTAAAACTACAGGGAAATATTTTGCTCCTAAGACACTCACAGGGCTGTAAGCCTACTGCCATACCAAAGTTATTACTCCTGGTGAAAGACAGCCTCCTTTTTCTTCTCCTTTACACTCATGTAACCCAACTGAATTTAGTACACTTCAAAGATTTTTAAAAATAAGAATAATTTCTTAAAATGTGGACCTTGGCTTGATGACTGTAGGCTAAGTGTAACACTGTCTGTGATGCCTAAAATGCAAAGGAGATTCATTTATTACCAAAGAAAGTGAATAGTTATGTTTATAAAGTAGTCCTGTTTTAACACAACAGCCTTCAAACCACTTGCAATTGCATGTAAGGACTGATGTGATATTCCTCCACCTTCAACCCCCAGGAAACACAAAAACAGCTCAAAATGATCTTTGATTGAGGCCTCCATTGTTATGTAAAAAGTTGTAGGACACAGTATAGTAAGGAGAAATCTGTGATATCTTTTTTTGTAATTAATGTTGAACTCCTAAAGGAAAAATACGTCATGCATAATTTAATAAAAGTCTCAGACACAGACAGGTAATATTTAAAAACTCAGAGGGTGGAAAATGGATAATTTTCTGGGATCAGGTTGATCTTGCATTTCAAGTGGGAGAACAGAAAAGGAATTACTCTTTTTGAATTTTTATTAATTTCTAGTAGAAAGATCACTTAACAATACTTAGCAATGCATGCAACCCAAAATGATCCCATTTGATAGAGCAATATGCCACTACACCCTACTAGGAAAGAAAGTAAATCTTAGTCATGATTCTGTTACAGAGTAAGGAGATACTTAGAGGGATAATATAAAAGAAAACAAATACAAAGAGACATGACTTCTCATTAACCATGACTGTCCTGGAGGGCAGATTTTTGTTACCTAACAGAAGAATTTAAAATATTTTTCTGAAAAAAAATTAGATTTATTTGGCTTTCTGTACCTTGCACTTTCTTCAGATATGGTGTAACTTTCCTTCATGAAATCAGGGAAAATGCAGAATACAAAAAAAACAGTATGCCAACACACAAAGGTTATTTATTTACATAGCTTATCCCGTTTCTGAAGCCATAGTAACAGTGGACTTTCACCACAGCAGTTCTAAACCCAACATTACTTTGGGTCAGTATTCATCAACTCAAACATGAAAAGTCATGTGGCCACAGTCAGTGCCCTCAGAGAGAGGGGCTGCCCTCAACCTCAGCACCAGACCAGTCTGGACCCTCCTGGGCAGTAATGAGGTAGTATTTAATTCTGAGGCATGGAGCTTTTATTCCTTCACTCAGAACCATCTTCCTAATGATTTCTAGAGGTCTAAGGTTTTTATTTTTAAGATGATTTACAGAGGACAGCAGTAAAGAAACAATGTCAGTAAGAAGCTGTTCTAAGGACTCAGCAGTCCTTTTTGATCCAGCCACTTCCATTACATGAGCAGCACTGCAGCACTGAAGCTCCTGCATCAAAGTCAAGCAGAGACCTTTTCTGAAATCCCCAGTACACAAATGTCTTCTTTTGGGAGGATTTTTCCACCACTGAAACTGTTTTCCCTTCACATCACTTAAGTATTTACTTAAGCCCTTCAATCCCATTTCCCCTCACACCATTTCAAAAGTGGAGGAGGCAAACATCTATTTTAGACATTATGTAGCTCTATAAACAACATGTTTAATTAGGTAAAGTTACAGCATATCAATGGATTCTAGATATAAATTAATATCAGATTTCTTTCTTTTTATTTAATTAATCTCATTAACCTCAAGAATTTTAATTAACTTTACTGAAATCAACAGTCTGCTTATATGAGCAGAATTGTTTTGAGAGCTACAGTAAGAAACGAAGCTCAGTTGTAAGTCTCTAGATACATTAACAGTGCAGAAAATAATTAGCAATGTCTTGATTTTTTTGTATTAGGCAAAACATCTGTGCTACTTATTTTCCTCATTTAGTAAAGCAAAGCAAAATTCAGAATATTTGTACTGCAGAATACATAATTTTGCTATGTTGGTAGCACATTATAGAAACTATACATCAACTGAATGACACAGATCACACATATGGTTCTGCTTTATTGTGGTGTAAATATAATGCAAACTCTATTTACTTTTTCTATTTTATTGAAGCATTGTTAATAATGTATAGATGAACATTATATTCAAATGTACTTTATATTTTCCTCACATCTGTCTATCAGGAAAAATATCTGCAGAAAACCAAATTAGAATTACACAGGAGCTACAGCAAAATATCTACACCACTAAAAAGATGCATTGTGCTTACAATTACATAGAAAATTAAAAATAGGCTAGCTATTTATTTTTATTACATATTACTATCCCTTTTATAGTAGTGATGGAGTAGTAGGTGGAGAATGAGTCCTGAAATTAAATTCTTTTCACCCCTGCAGATTCCACACACTAACTGAAGATGCCTTCATATGTCAGGTACTGTAACTACAAGTGCTCACTAAAAACCTCACTTGGAATACCTTTTAGGTGTGACCTGGCCAGAACTGCTCTTCATGCAGAAGACTTTCCTTGTCTGTATGCCTACTCCACAAGTGGCTTCTCCACTCCAATTAATGGTTGTATTGAGAGCAGTTACCAGCGTGTCTTCAAAGCAAGAGCTCCAGGGAGAAGTTTCCCAGAAGAAATGCACACACGGGTGATCATTACAGGCACGGTGCTCCTGCAGGGCTCGGTCAGGGGGACAGGCTTTTCCACCTGGAAAGAGTCAAGAGAGCACCATATTCTATCTCATGGCATGTGGCAAAAGGTAGATATGGAAAAATAAAACAAAAATGTTACTTAGTTTATTTTTTTTCCCTCCTATCTTCTCTTTTTTTCCTCATTTAAAAAAAAAATAAATAAATAAAGCTTAAATAAAGCTGTTGACCTTTATGGTTGCAATAACAACCTTCTAAAATATTGTTTCCCTATTAAACTAGCCTTGCATAAAATTGTATTCCAACACATAATGGAAACAGAAATAGGCAAAGTGTATTTCTGAGTTACCTTATTGATACTCCTACACACAGCCAAGTTAATTCCATTTAAATGCCAGTATCACCCAGCAAACATGCAATTAGGTTTAAAGACAAATTAAGCATTATTTTTATGTTCATTCTCCTTGCTAAATTCCCAAGGAGGAACATCTCTTTCTAATATTTGGACTGTATTCATGTGTTGCCTTAAAAAGCTGAGCTGTAGAGGGGTCCTCAACTGTGCTGATGGAGGAAAGTATCAAATGATACCCACATCTACAAAGATAGAAGGTGAAAACTTCAAAGATAGGTTTTGAGTATGAAGCCTTTACTTTTCTGAAGCAGAATCCTTCAAACTGGTGTCCAAAGATTCTGCTAAGCTACTGCAGTTTGTCAACAACTAGCAATAAATTCACAAAGTACAGGAGTTTGAACAGCCTCCCCAGAAGCTTAACACTCTAGCCAGTAGCCTGAATTTATCCCATAAAAGCAGCAGATGTTTGTAGCTCAAAAGCTAAGGAGTAATGCAGTGAAATTTAACAGTAAGCATGGTCATTTTAGGAAGAAAGAAGTAAAAATTACAAAAATCAAAAGCACCCTCTTCCAGGAGGGAGAACCTGGCAATTTGTGACGTGGCCAAACTGCTGCAGGTTTTGAAGGAACTGAAGTGTGGAGGTCAGATACCACGAGGTTCAGAGCACCATTATGCTCTACTAAAATCAACAGAAGATGAAGGTATATTGCTCTTTGAAGGGATGACTATTGCCTTGCAGGACTGAGCCTTCTCAAATAAGGTTTGACCCCAAATGGCTACAGTGAATAGCACTGAGAAAAGAAAAAGAGGGATGGAAATTTCGTAGCACGCTGATTCAGATAATCATGTCACATTACCATCCATCTTTTCATGAAAATGGGCTGTTCCACATTGCATTCAGTCTCAGAAATGTTTAGTATGATGATGGAGTAGAAAATGCCCCAGGTAACTTATTTCTTGAAGATTTTGACTTGCCAGGAAAAATACAGACCATTTATTGCTCTTTTGTAAATTTTAAAAAAAAAATTTAGCAAGCAAATGGTAAAATGCTTGGCCCATTAGTAAAAAAGAAAAAAGAAAATATATACCTCAAATTTTGAGATTCCCAGGGAAAAATTAAAGTGTTTTTTTTTCTAGAATAGCCATGGTGAGGAAGCTCTCCCAGACCAGGGAGAGTAATAATGAGGCCTTTTTAACTTAAGATAATAATAAGCACATAGTCCATCCAACCTAGCAGCCTGTCTGAAAAATCAGAAGCAGGACATGCTGTTTGTAAAAAGCACAAGAGCCTGGCCACTTTCTGAAGTTCACTGACAACTTTTGTATAAGGAAAGCAGGACAGCCCTCTGCTGCCTAGCCAGTCTAGTAGCCATTTACAGACTTTTTATGGACCTGATGTTCATCAGTTCCTCTATTCCATTTTAAACCTGCTGAGTTTCAGCAGGCTGCCCAGGGAAGTGATGGAGTCACCCTCCCTGGAGTTATTTAAAAGACATGTAGACGTGGCACTGAAGGACACAGTTTAGTGGTGACCTGGCAGTGCTAGGTTAATGGTTGGACTTGATGATCTTAAAGGTCTCTTCCATCTGGAACAATTCTATGATTTCCTGATCTCTTCTTGCACTAAGTTTCAGAAGTTTGCTGCTCAAACTTTTAAAATCAGATTTAAAGCAAGGCCCTCTAGTTTAATCAACAGCCTTCTGGCTATCATATTCTGGGAGCTGGTGAAGGGCTTGGAGAAGACAACCCAAGGGTTTAAACTGAAGCCAGGCTGTGAGGTAGCATGCAGAAGTCCTTCCAGCAGCAGAGCCATGGCTAATATTGCCTCAGCTGATAGAGGACAACTGAAATGTCACTTGCAAAGGTACCAGAGCTCTGTAGAAGTTGGTGGCTCACCTGTGAGCTGGGTATGAAAGAGTCAGAGAAAGCAGGTAGCATAACATTGCCTTAGTATTGCAGTGACACAGGTACTAAATCCTTTTCCCATCTCCACAAGTTCAAATCAATCACTATTCATCTGTACAGAGACAGAGTGTGACTGCACAGCAAAACATTATACTCATTGCTAAAGATCTGCAGAAAAAGTTGGGGTGTTTGATTTTAACAGTTGATTATTCCTTCCCAAGAAACTTCAAGTAATCAGTTCAAAGCATGTAATTTTCAGTCTAGTGTATAAACTGAACTTACATACTTCCAGAACTCACTTCTTCAGCGGTTCACTTTCACAATTTCATGCTTATTTATTTGCATTTTCTTACTTCCACAGAAAAGACTGTATTTTTCATTGTAATTGTTCTCTAGCTAATACATTTTAGTAGTAGTTATCATTCAGTCAACAATTATACAGCAGTTTTCATCCTGAAGGGTTCAAATTTTCTTTGCAAGAGCTTATAAGGATGTTTATGTGAACACAGACCATTCACATGAGTAAGGGTTTGCAAGCCCAAGTCCTTATGTTGCCCCAGAAACAGTGGGTGGTTTTAATGATAATTTACAAAATAGCACTTAACAGAGCTTGTCCTAGACTAGATTTGCATCTAAAAGTGTTTTGCTGCTGCATTAGCTGCACATAGTGCTGACAATAGTAGATATTTTTGTCGTGTCAACAAGGCTTTATTCTGTTAGACCTGTCCACATTTTATGAATTTTTATGCACTTGATGTGATACCTTTCAAATCCTGTGTGACAAACCAACACATAAATTAATTACTGCATGTCTAACCACAGTTAGAAGACTACACGTCTGGTATAAAATAGTTTGTGTAAATAATTGTATCACTGATGTTGACAGGTAAAAATCCAGATACATGATGTGTCCATGAAGATCCAGAGGAAATTTTTTATATATACACATTCACCAAGAGCTACTTCCTCCAATAGAAAAACGTCAATATATTCTGGGTCTGCATTAATAAAATAAAGAATTCCTTTTGTATTTACTCATTTTTCACAGCTCATTGTTCTTTCGTAAATCAGTACCAGTATGTTCCTATATAAGACACCTGCACAATGGGTTTGTGTTATGCAGCAATTTCATCAGTATAGGATGTAGCTCCCCTGAAGTAAATTAACCCCCAGACCGGCCCTAATTCATAGGCTGAAGTAGTTTTGAACTGTGACAGAATTTCTCTAAGTGGCACATGCATTAACTGAAGCCTATAAAGATATTTTATTTGCTAGGCATGAAGTACAGACAAGTATTAAGTATTATTCCTCACTGCTGTAGTACTGGGATTAGCTCTCATCTAAATACAGTCTGCCTGAGGAATGCAAGTCAACTCATTAAGCAAAAACCAATTAATCCAGAAATGTTTGCACTCACCCTCTGCTGGAAGGGCCAAGATGGCCCTACTCCGGCTCTGACTGCCCTCAGCACTTTTACTGGAGCATGAGTGGGAACACAGGGACCACGGGGACCACTCGCTGACGACACAGTCTGTTGGGCAAGGGACTTCACAAGCCACGACTTCAAGACGGGGAAGCTCTGAGCAGAGGTGATGTGGTACTTCTTCACCTGAAGCAGAAGAAAACAAGACAGACACGGAGGAAGGTTCAGCTTGAATCCATGTCCTTGGTCTGCATCACACAGACCTGCCTATGCCAAACATCTGCCTGCCCGTGCAGGAACATACCACAAAAGAGCATGTGGTTAGGCTTCAGGCTTCAAAGTGTAACACTTCAACAATTAACGCTAGTGTTTCTTCAGAAAAGCAAAAAAGACAAAAATTATGTTTCAATTTTTGTGTTTGACATCTTGAGTGCAGTCCCCTTTTACAAAGTGAGCAAGGATGAGGACTGAGATAATTCACTTGATTAAAAGCTGTAGTATCAGTTACCATCAATTCCGATGATGCTTGCCCTGTGTTTTCCAGCAATCTCCACCTACAGAAGATATTTTCCACAATACAAATTGTGCAGGTCCCCACATAAGACAATCTTCTACTGCCTGTAGCCAGAGTAGTGTCCAACAGGTGCTTTTGTCGTTCTCCTGCAGCCTCACCAGAACTAACCAGGTACCATTTCTGACTGCTTCTTACCCCAAAACTATGGGATCCAAACTGATGAACCACCACCAGCCAAGGACAAAATACCATCCAAGGAAAAAATACTTCCTTTTGGAGACAAACCAAGGGACCTGGACCAAAGCATACCTCCTGACAAGAAGCATCTTTCCAAAATCCTTTTCAACAAAAAGATAGGACATTGGGAGTGGTGGGGAAAAACCTACCAACTGAAAGAAGAGCTGGCAGAATGAGCAGCAAAACAAAGCATGCAAGAGGGATGTCGTGTGGATTACTGTTTTTAAAAAGTAAAATAACATTTTATTTTTAAAATAACAAAGGGCATGTCTATTGATTTTAGTAATTACATAGAATTTAAAAGGACAATGTAATTCATAAAAACTTTTAAAAATTTAACTCTTTTGGTGTTGAATTACACCTGATGTCTTACAAACACAATTCAAGCAATGAGCAGACATGACTGTGTTACACTGTTCTCTTGTTTAATGTTTCTGGACCCTCGTGAATTTTCAGCTACAAATCCAAAATTTCTGTAAGCTCAAATCTACCTGTTTATAAACAACAAGCTCACACTGAACATTACCTCCTCTTTTGCCCTTATAATATTTACAAAGCTCTCCTCTGAGATTTCTTTAATTATAAAACTAGGAAAAAAACATGATGACTATCCAGGCTCAATTATACATAGGGGAAAAAAAAAATTAAAATTATAATGGCAACAACTGTCTCTTTCTCCTCATGCTACACGAACAGGCTCCGTAACAAGGCGGCCCAGGATGCAATTATAACTAGGAGGGTAGAAAACTGTCCTGCTTCTGCAGGGCAACACAGAGAGGAGTGAGTAAATAAGAGAGGCAGGCTGCCAGCGAGTGCATAAAGCTGTCAACAGCACAGTGGCATTATCTGCAGTTGCATCCCTAAATGAAGACAGGCTCATCACCCTCGAGGCATGTATAAAACTTTTCAAGCATATTATGAGAAGTAACGGAGAATCTAGCAGGCAATCAGACTGCAAGATTTGTTTAAAAATGCTTTATTTTTATAGTCCCTTTCCCTCGCACGCATCCGTGCTCGTCAGGAGAGGCTCGGAACGCTCAGCCTTTGCACCACTATTTTAATCTTAGTAAGGCAACAGAGACCAACACCCTCCCTGCAGCCAGCCCCCGTCCTTGGCTGCTGTGCTTGGCACCCTGCAAACCAGGCTGAATCCATCCTTCACTTCAAGCAGACCATTATCACCACGGCTGCCTTGGATGCTCACGTAGCGCTGAGAACTATCCTTAGAGAAAAACAATGTAGAACCACCACGTAAACATGGAAAGCTTACTCCAGCTGTCTTTCAAAGTCACTTTAGCATCAAAATCCCCACTAACATTTTGACAGTTTGTCTGTACGGCAGCAGATAACATGAGGGCATCCTGGCAGGCACGATTTTAGGAGACAATGATGCAGTAGCATCAAGAGATTATTCACTTTGGTGAAGTAAGGTAAAACATCCATCCTCTTCTCCCATCGCTGACACTGAGGGGAAGCATGGGAACAGTCAGTGATAGGCTTCCAGATGAGAAGGGGTGAAACAGGACATTGGCCCTGCAAGCACGCCCCACGCCCCACCATCCATGCAAGAGCTTATCTTAATTACAAATGGACTTCACAGCTAGGGAACACCAGCAAGTTCACCAAACTCTGGACTTACACCAATTTTTCCACTGATCAAATTGTGCTAGAGAGGTAAGCATCAGAGAAAGCCCTACCTGTTGAAAGCCAGGAGAGCTTTTCCACTGACTTAGTTACCCGGATGTGATCCTGGGCAACCTGCTCTAGGAGAACCTGCTTTAGCAGCGGGGTTGGACTAGATGATCTCCAGAGGACCCTTGCAACCCCTGCCATCCTGTGATTCTGTGACTCCAAAAAATACAAGCCACTCCACTCAGAAGATGGTTTAAAACACATGGGTCTCCTCTGGGGTGCCTTCTTCCACCCACAAGCCCAGGTGCCACAGACTTTCATGTGATCTCTCTGTGGGGAAAGGAGGCAAAGGAGCAAAATGTGCTTTCCACTTCTTCCCTCCCTGATTTCTTTTCACTCTGGATTTACAGCAGGTGACAGTTACAGTAATGCTGCAAACAGAGGCTACAATTCACAGCTCCTGAGCAAAGAAAGGCAGCTTTGAGTTTTGTTATAAAGAGTTTACCACCCAGTGCATGAAGGTACAATTCAACACTTGCCTTGATTTACTTTATAGCTCTATTCACTGTGTTCAGGTTTAATTACTGGCTTGTATTACTGCAGAAGGGAAATGTTCTTCTGTACCAGCCGCCTGGCAGAGAATTCTCAGAAAACTGCTGTATACTACAAAAGGACGTAATAATCTTTCATTTTCCCTGAAAAATACTGGTACAGGATACATCTGAAGTGTGCTTTATGCACTGTCACACATTTACAGGGAATATTAAATTCTCCAGAGCTTCCAAATTGTCCATCCAGTACCTTGAAGGTGTAATTCTTATCTCAGATATTCTGAATAAACTTTCTAGGCCTTTCTATAATCTTTGCACATAACAGTCTATGGGTCTGGATGGGATCCACCCAAGGGTACTGAAGGAGATGGCAGAAGTGCTCACCAAGCCATTTTCAATCATTTATTTCAGGTTTTAAGCACAGTTTTTCTTCCCAGCCTTGCTGAATACATGCCTTCCCTTAAAAAGTTTAAGTTAAGAAAAATGTTACAGTTATCTATTCAAAACGTTTTCCTGTAAGCATCATGACCTTGTACCTGAATACTATAGTGATTAAAGCTAAATACCCAAGACATACCCACCAGATATTATTTTACATATAGTAAAGATTTAATCCATTTTCTTCCAAAGTCAGGGTGTAATAATCATGAAAGAGAAGACAAGCATGGCATTTTTTGTGAATATATTTGCTAATAAGGTTGATCATTACCTAATGCACAGTCCCTAATTTGAATTCTTCAACAAGGCAACAGAGAAGCTACATGGATAAGTACAATTCTGAGTGGAATTTCTGATTCACCCAAAAGCCAATTAAATTCTTCCCAACAAAAAGAAGAAATTCTTCCCACCAAAAAGGGAAACAAAACAAGGAATGACATAAAACTACCTTTGCAATAAACAGTCTGGTTTTTTTCCAGCCACTTCAGTTTTTTCTTACTGTCTTTTCCATTCTAGAAGGTGAAGCCACTCCCGTGGTCCTGAATAACGCACTCCATGGTGAGGAGGCACTGAACCAACAGGAAGGGTTTGTTCTGAGCCAGTTCAATATCTAATTGCATCTGCCTATTTCACATGATGCCTCGCAACTCTGGTGCATTAGTCTCATTCTTCCCAGTGACCTGTGTACCCATCTCCTACGACAGAGTTTAATTACTCCTGCCACAGAGGTCCCTCCTGGCCCAGGAAAAAGGGAATGTCACTGGACAGGATACAGCTAAAGCAGCAAAAATACC